ATGCATTGAATCAAAAGAGGTGGATGGAACCTCTTTTGCTGTATCTTTTGGTTAGTACTATAAAAACATCCTCTTTGTTGCAAACATTTCATTGTGGCTGCTTTTCAGGCTTCCTTTGACTGAAGGTGTTCACTTTTTTTTTTCCATTTATATCAATCTTTTGGTGGATATATTGTATTAATATGGGACTTTAGGTGTAATTTTAAAAAATATTAAATGTTTCAAGATTTATTTTAGAAGTGATTTGGTTGCATTTTGTACTGCCTCCAGTAAAACTCTCCAAATATCTTGATACTCAATGCTGTTTTGGGTACTAACAAGCAAAAAAATTTGATGTGTCAAATGCTAAGCGTACTTAGGATTTCTTTAAATTACATTTAGTATTGAATAGGTCTCAGAAGTCTGGGAAAGGCTGGAAAGGTTTTGTATTTCTAAGCTGTTCTTTGGCTTTTTAAATTACAAGGTCTGCAGTGAAACAATAATAATCCTGGTCGGTGTGACCTTACAGGAAATCCTTTACTTTGTATCCGAGAACACAGTCGCTGTTGGTAATTCAAGCAGCTTTAGAAATATTTCTAATTTTCTTACACACTTACCTCACTTAAAAAAACTTCAGTACCGGGCTGGAAGTATTTCTGCTTCTCCAATTCAGAAATATTTCTCCTAAAAAAACCAACCAACCAAACAACGAACAACTCACAAGTGATTAAGCAGAGGCTTTACCAGTGAGAATGTGTTTAAAGTAAGTCTCGTGGCTCCTTCTCTCTTCACCAGGTACCACCTGTGTGGGAGGACACACTCCATCTGCCTTGAAGTCCTTCAGCACTGAACTGTGTAAGCTCCAGTAAAAAAATATCCAACAACTCCAAAACTACAAACTAATCTAATAAATGCTTCCTCTAGCCCCTTGATAAATATGCCTCTAATGCTAATTAAGCAGCTGTGCTGATTAATTAGATGATGTTGGCTGATAAAACACAGCAGCAAGGAAGGGTTTTACTTCTTTTCCTTCCCCAGGAGATTTGGGCTGTAGCTCGGGGATGAGTGAACCCCTCAGTGTCCCAGACACTTTTTCCATGGTCCCAGTTTTGCAGAGGAGCCTGGGTGACCTCATGAAGGAGCAGGGAGGTGACTTGGCCAGGTTTCAGCAGCGCATTTGTGATTTCAGATGCTTGGCAGCCCACACCCCAGCTTGGGAAATGGGTGTTGCTTACATGTTATTCAGAAGGTGAAGTTTCTATATATTCCTTCGCAGATGGTTAGCAATGTCCCTATGGATGCTGCCATCAGATGCATGGAGATGAAGCGTCGTTCTCCAGTCTGGAGCTGGAGGGAAACTTATGCCCTGGTGCTGGGGGAGAGATAGGACCAGGGATGGAGGAGCTCCGCTCCCTCTGCCAAGAGTGAGGTGAGGGAAGCCAGCCTGGAAGCCCTTGTGAGCCAAAGTGCTCTCACAACCAGCTTTTGGTTGGCAGGGGAGTGTAGCTTGGGGTTGTGCTCCAGTGCTGAGTGAATTTCCTCCCATTGTCCTTGGGGAAGTGCAAATGCCACAGAGGGAGGTCATGGTGACCATCCCCTGGAAGTTCAGGCTGGGGCTGTGCCTCTGGGCCTTCCACAGCTACTCCCATCCCCAGTGGTCCTTTCTAGGGGTGCCCCACTGAGATTCCCTTTGCTCTTTTCTTCGTGGCAGAGGAGTTCTTATTGCTTCCTCATAGGGTAACAAATGCTGAAATTATTTCAGTTTTGGCAGAGGCAGTCAAAGAATGATAACACGGAGCCAAAGGAGCCTAGAAGAGGTGCTGGGCCGTATTCCCAGAATTCCATGAGCCAGTACCATCTCCTGCCTGTCCCCTTCCTTTCCTAATCTTTCAGCCCCATCTCCCTGAAAATTCAGAATGAGTCCCTTGGTATTCATCTTAATCTGGCATTTAAAATCGCAGGCAATAAAGCTTTCACCACTTCCCTTACAGAGACAATTTTCCAGCCCATGATTCTCCATTCAAAAGCTTTCCACACGGATTCTCAGCTTAGACATGCCCTTCTGTAATTTCACCCCATTAAAACCATTAATGTATCACCAGTCTTCTCCCTTCGTGCCACTTACTTAATTCAAACATTTACAGATCACTAGTGTGTCCCTGCTTAGTTCACTAATTCCACAGTACCTATGGCAGCTGGAATTTTTATTTTTTTTTCCCCTTTTGTAAAGCCTCCAGCCTGCTGATTCCTTCAGTTGTGGCTCTTGGAGCTGCTTCCTTCTTGCAAATCTGAGGCAGATGCTCACTGTCCTCACCTGTGTCCTTCTGCTCCTCTGCACTCCATCCAAACCTGCGTTGCCTGTTCCTGACTGCCCCGCCCTAACACCTGTGAGCAGCCTAATGTCCTGCAGGTGTCCTGCAGGTCATGCCTTTAGAGCACATCCTTCCCTATAAATACAGATTCTGGATTTATTTTTTTTTTCCTCCCCGAAGCAGCCAGCTGGGTTGTGGAGGTTGGTGTTAGCGGGTGGCAGCGCGTGGCTAAAGCTGCATCGGAGCAGACTCTGGATCTGAGCTCCCAGCAGCCCAGCGCGGGGGAGGTTTTATTTTTCCGTAAGTATGTATCTTACTAGTGTGTTCCCTCATGCTGACACCCCAAATAGTGCATTCACCTTCCTTGCAAAGAAAGTTTTTTTACATACCTGGTGAGAAGTATCTTGCAAAGTCGCAAAACACTGTTTTGAAAAAGAATCTTGAATTCCTGAACGCGCAGCTCTGTTTCTACCTGAACCTGTCTCTTTATTTCTCCTAACATGATGAATCCTTGTGAGGGAGCACGTGATGTCTGTGGTTCCCAGCATGGTTTGGGTGGAGGTGTGGGTAGATGCATACATGCTTCTCTACTATCAGCCCTGTGACTGGTTCTGTGCCACGAGCAGCTGCACGGTGAATGTTCAGCTCCCGAACTTCCCAGGTGTTTGCAGCCCCGATCAGGACTTAGGGACTGTGCTGAAACGATCGCTGCCACGTTTCCCAATCGCAGGGCGCTTGGGAAATGCACTGTGTGGTTGTGCAGCACACACGCCCCGGGGGCGCGAACCGAAAGGCTCTGATTAGGAAACACCAGGGCGATGTTTAACGAGCGCATTAGAAATTCGGCCCTGACTGCACACCACAGCTCCCCCACCCAGCCCCAGGGACTCGGATCTGAGTCCGATCTGAGGCTGGGGCTGGAAGATCTCCAGAGGTCCCTTCCAACCCTGACGATCCTGTGATTCTGTGATCTCAGGGAGCGCAGAAGCAGGATCGCTAGGATCAGTGTTAAGAGGCGATCAGTGGGAGATCAGTGTTGGAGGGTGCCTCTCCTGGGAGTGTGTGAGGGGTGCTAGGGCTTGTGTGTGACGGGGATGGTGACAGGGATAATGACAGGGATAGAGATAGCGACAGTGATAGGGAGACTGACGGTGATAGCGACAGGAACAGGGACAGTAATAGTGACACAGGGAGAGGGTCAGGGACAGTGACTGCTACAGTGACAGTGACACAGTGACAGTGGCAAGGACAGTGACAGTGTGAGCGACACAGTGACACAGCGACAGGGACAGTGACACAGTGTCAGTGATACAGGGACAGGGAAACTGACACAGGGATGGGGACATGGGGACAAGGACAGTGACTGTTACAGTAACGGCGACTTACAGTGCCAGTGACAATGACCCAGGGACAGTGGCAATGACACAGTGACGGTGGCACAGGCACGGAGACACAGAGGCAGAGACACAGGGACAAGGGACAGTGACACAGGGTAGGGACACAGGGACAGGGGCACAGTGACAGTGACATGGGGACAGGGACACAGACACAGATTCAGGGACACAGTGGCAGTGACAGACACAGTGACAATGACACAGACACAGGGACACACTGACACAGGGACATGGACACAGAGACACAAGGACAGTGACAGTGACACAAACACAGGGACAGTGACAGTGCCACAGGGACATAGAGACAGTGTCACCGGCACAGCCCCATCTGGTCCCAGCCCGTTCCTGTTCGCGTCCCCGTTCCTGCTGCCATCCCCGTTCCCGCTCCCATCCCCGTCCCCCTCCCCTCTCCCGTTCCCGCTCCGATTCCCACTCCTGTCCCCCTCTCCGTCCCCACTCCCATCCCCATTCCCGTTCCCGCTCCCCTTCCCACTCCCGTCCCCCTCCCTGTCCTCATTCCCAGCTCCAGCCCCGTTCCCGTCCCCATCCCCATTCCCGTTCCCGCTCCCCTTCCCACTCCCGTCCTCCTCCCTGTCCCCATTCCCAGCCCTATCCCCATTCCCATTCCTATCCCCGTTCCCATCTCCGCTCCCGTTCCGGTTCCCATTCCCGTTCCCTTTCCCATCCCCGTTCCCATCCCCGTTCCCATCCCCGTTCCCA